TTTGTGAAACTTCTTTTGAATATGGTACGCTCGCGGGAAATTTCATAGGTGCTTTTCTTAAGTAAAGCATTCGTAACAGAAGTTTTTAAAGAGATGCTTCGTAGGAAAATACATAGTTCTTAATACTGAATTCCTTGAATCGCAACTTTTACAGATCCTTCATTGTGATAGAACCTTTAATTATTCAAATTGTTGTAATTATAATACCTTTTGCAAGTTATATTTTCATACTATCATTTTTAATGATATATAAATTTGCTTGGGTACGAGGTAAGTTATAATGATAATGATTTTGATGGAATTAAATCGGTAGTTTTTAATATTTAGTTGTTGCGAAATCTCGGAATTTTCGACCTTGTTATAATTCTAAACTGATGTTCAAAATGAATTATATGTAACGGTCATCATCAGCAAGTTTACATCATTTGAGACTTTAATTCTAAATTCATACTAATTGCAGTATTAAAGACTTGAGCCTACAAATAATAATAATGCATTACATACATTTATACTTTATATTAATTAATTATATTAATTAGCTATTTGTTACTGTATATTCGAATTTAATATCAATACTAAATATTGACACTTGGTATTTGTACTTGATATTCGTTATATATATATGTCACATCTACGTACTAATTATTAGGTTATGTTATCGGATTAGGTTATGGAATTGTTCATACCATCATTACTATGAATTTAGAATTAAAGTCTCAAACGATGTAAACTTGCTGATGATGACCGTTACATATAATTCATTTTGAACATCAGTTTAGAATTGTACCAAGGTCGGAAATTTCGAGATTTCGTAAAAACTAAATATTAAAAACAAAACTACCGATTTAATTCCATCAAAATCATTATCATTATAATTTTTAACGATATTTTAAAAAATACTCTTTGCATGGGATTTACACCTTTTTGTAGTAGGGTTTCCTTTCAAAGTTTTCTAGTTAAATTCTTGATAATTTTGAATTGTGAGAATCGGAAAGTGGTTAAGAGTATACCGCCAGACCAACTTCGGTAAAAACATGCGTGCATAAAATCGCTGTATAAGTTAGTTGAAAATGAGATAACGCAGATACAACTTTAATCTCCTTTGGGAAATACTTAGAAGTACTTTCTTGTATAAGATATAGCTCATTTTTTCCACGATTCATAGAAGTGTAGCACATCTGTAATCGAAAGTGGCCTAATCACACGGTAAAAATCAAGAATTAATAAGGAAAAGAAGCAATTCCTTTTTACTTCTGTTCCTCGCATATTATTGTCCCTATTTCGATAAGACAAAAGTTTTTATCTTTATCTAGTTCAAACTTGTCACTGTCACTGTTATTGTGTACTCAAAAAAAGTGAGTGCACTGGATTCGGTCAGTGTGTCTGTCCGGCCATCCGGCCATTAGCATAATAACTTTTGAAAGCCTCATCCAATTGTCATGAAATTTTGTACACAGAATGATCTCATCAATATCTCGGTCGAGTTCGAAGATGAGAAGGATCCGCCAAGTAATGGCTGAGTTATCGAAAAAATTGTTATTTTTGACCAGACCATCCCTGAGGGGGTACAGGAATTTTTTCAAAAAAACATTTTTTCTCAGAATTATTCACAACATATATAAATCGACTCAGTTTTTAACGCTGATTCTGATTCTGAATCTGATATTATTTTTGAACCAAATCGTAGTTTTCTAACGAAACATTGCCTGAAAAAGGTCTCAAAATGCACAAAAACTGCATCGAGAAAACAAATTGCCTAGATATGTCTGAGATGACCTGTAGTTTTGGGGTTTTCCAAAGGCCTGGTTTTGTAGCTAACCAAAAGGACTATCGAAAATTAAAAACCCGAACTCGATAGCTATTAATATTGAGGATTTATCACTTTTTGAAGTACACATAACACTCGGATTTAAATCCGAGGTTTTCGCATTTATTTTTTCATTAGAAACTTTCTAAAATGCGGTTAAGTTTTCGGTATACGAAAAAGTGCTTCCAATCACTTCTGCAACATTGCCAAAGGCGACGAAATACTTTTGTACAGACCAAATAGTCTTATACTACCTTTATAAATTAAGCGAATAGATTTCTCCTTATAATAATATCCACACATAGTTTAAATACTTAAATCTTCAACTTTTTGAGCGATACCAAAACATTTTTATATATCTTGTTCAAATTTTAACCCAGAATCAAGAAACAACCCTTAAACATTTTTTTACTCAGTATAGATAGAAACATCATCAGTTGTAGGAAACAGTACTCCCTCGTTTTTGCTGTTTTTAAATTCTATACTACCGAGTTTTTTGCTAGATATTCAATTAAAAATTTACTCACAGACCAACTTTTTCTTGCTAAGTCAATGCAAAATTGTCATTCATGCAAAAGAACGGAAAAAAATCTATAAAATCTATATTTCGAAGCAACTTGTTTTTAAATAATTCAAGGTGCTCTCACATATGTCAAAGTACTTTGAAACACTTTAAAATACTTCAAAGTACTTCGAAGTACTTTAAAGTAGTTAAAGTACAAAAGTACGATGGTTCCCCGTTGAAAACCAATACTTAAACCGTACATTCAATTTTCAATCGCGTTATTATTTTTCACTCGGCTTAATAAGTTTTCTTTTAACTTTATGAATCCTTATGTATTTAAGTGTTGTATCATGTTGGAAAAATATTTTTCTTTATCTGTTTTCATGTGTTTTAGAATCAAGCAATATTAATATTTGTATCACATCAACGTTGTGACGAATATTTTGATATAATTATGTTTATATCCACTGTAATTATTTAGCTACAAAGTGTTTTTTTTTGAAAACACAAAAATGTGTATAACACTATCAATATAACATTCCAAACACCACACTACTAATTAAAATGTCTCAGATTATTTTTCTTTTTTTTTGTGAATAGTTTCATAGTGGAAAACATTACAGAAGAGAAGTATTTTTCTAAAAATGCTAATACTTATCGACATTCAATGACATTTTTTAGCAGCCATTATGTTCTTATTAATCACGAGTTTCTTTTTTTTTGAGAAATCATTGTCATATTCAATTCTAGATCATAGGAGAACATATATATAGATTTTACTATTTAAGAAAACGATTCGTCTGAATTTTACATTATCAATTGTGTTTCTTGCTTTGGTAAATACTGAAGTAAGCTATTTCTCATCAGTATAACATCTGCTCGGTATTGTTCTTTATTTCAAGACAAAACAAAGAAAGCATCTGTTTTATGACCGTGCAATAATTATTAAAGAAGCCATTCGTCACGTGTTTATGTATTTCCCGCAAATGTTCTAATATCACATTTCATAGGAAATAGAATCGGTTTGATTATAGATAATTTAGTAAGCGAAATAGAAGTTAGTAGTAAAAATAAAACTTATTCAATCCATGATCTTTGGTATTTAGTGCTGTTCTAGATATTATAAAAAATATTTCTTTCGTAATTTTATATCTTGATGATTATAGCTATTAAAAAGTTCCTGTCCTTTTCACAGTTAGTTGTTTTGTTCTACTACTATTATTTAAAAATCTTCTATATATATATACATTATTTTTAACTTGACTAAATACGCTTTTCGCCTTGTTTTTCGTCTGTAACAACATTTTATAGTATGTTTTTCCGCCATTTGCTGAGAAATTCTTAAAATTTATTTATAGATCAATTTGAATAACCATAATTTATTGATTTAATTTGATTTAGCTTATTTCCATCATATACTTATTGATGAATCTATGATGAATACAATTAAATTTTGTCGATTCGTGCATCTCTATTAGGATATATTCATGAAAGGAATTTGCGATGAGTTTTGCTTAGTCATTTTTCGATTTTACTACATACACATGTTTTCTTTTACGACGAAATGTAACTTAAACTAATGAGAAAAATATTTAATCACATAATGTCTCTTCTAAGAAATAGCACAAGAGTATCGGAAATAGTGCTCTATTTTGAATACATTAAAAGCATCAATACAGGACTCTTGACAAAAAGAAGATATTTTTTCAATTATTTACAATCTTGTTTTCTGTATAAAAACTGACTCATATTCACAGAAAACTTCAGATGATTCTTTTTTCTTAGTCATTACTAAGTACATTGATTTTTCGAACTGTAATAAATTCGACGTAGCTTCATAAGGAAAAGGCGGCGACACATTCGTGTGGACTCTTTTTTGTTATGAAGAACATTTTCTTTATCATTTGCTTCGTTTAAACAGCAAAAATTATCATTCAATATTTTTTCTTTCTAATTTGTTGGCGTCCTCCTTTTTGCATAGTATATAAAAATCATATCTACATCATAGCACTTTTTTTCTGCTACCATTATCAATCCCATTCAAAGAGAACAACCAGAGGCCTTTTCTTTTCTTGATGAACCATAGTCGCGTTTCAACTGGCATATTCTTTATTTGCTGTAACTACTAGCTCTATTTCACATATGTTTTCATCGTGCTATTAGATATCGCTTGCTGTTGTTCTTCCTCTTCGTTCTAGTTCGATATTTTCCATCTCGTATCTACAGTTGATTATTCTTTGTCGATCTTATTTATCATAAGCAATCATATGAAGCGTTCTATTGTCATCTATCAATATATATTTATTTCCTTTTATAATTTTATTTTCATGTAAATTCTAGGCAATATAAATCAAAGATCTTAAAACAGAAAAAACTCATAATAAGAAAACCTTTTGGATTGAACATTTTTCATAACCTAACTTTATCGTTGTCACTTATTTAGTGGATCTTGTCAATCTTAAAACTCAATCTTAGCCGAAATAATAAAATAAACAATGTTAGACTCAAATAGTATACTATTCATTAGTTAGTTTTTAGTTTTTTTAAATTTATTATCTCTATCAATTACTGTCTAAACCATTGATCATAGTTATTTCTTTTTCTTTTGCGCATCAAGATTTACAGAATTTTATCTACTTTAGTAATGTAATTCATATTTAATATAATTAATTCTACTTAGAATAAACAATGAATATCGAAATAAATCAAACAACAATTATCAATAACGATCAAGATAAAGAAGTATTTGAAAGTATTCAAATAATATGTGGCTTATATCTTATACCAATCGTCTGCGTACCTGGTCTTATCGGAAATATTTTATGTATCATCATATTTATTACAAATAGTATGCAACGTTTTCTAACGACACAGTTTCTTCTCTTTTTGGCTATAACCGATGTCATTAAACTTTCAAATGATTTGCTCTATTCTATTGTACTTATTATTCAAGCATTTAATCAACAATATGGAAAAAAATTATTTCTTATACTCTATCGTTATTGCCATTATATTAATACAGTTTCAACATTATGTGCAGCATGGCTGACATTGATTGTTGCTATTGAGAGGTAAAATGATTTAATTAATTTAAAATATTAAATATTGATTTTTTTTCTTCTTCGTTTGTATAGATATGTATTATGTAGTGCAAATAATCGCAAGCGTGTTATTGTTCAAAAGAATTCTCGTATTTTATGTTATTTAATTATATTTTGCAGTCTTATTCTAGCTTTGCCTGTCTCATTTCGTTATGAAATTGTTCCATTATCAACAAACAATCAAACGTTAAATAATTCTGATTCTTTAGTGAATTTATCAAAATTTGGTAGTTCACGTTTGTTTCGTGCTTATTCAATTACAATCGATCTTATAAGGGCAATTATTCCGTCGTTATTACTTTTTTATTTAAATACACGTATCATTTATTTACTTTACCGAATGAAATCGTCAGCTGGAACAGCATTTTCTCGTTTAACAATCAGTCTCATTATTATAATTGGATGTTTTATCTGTTGCTATTTTCCTGATGCTCTTTTATCACTCATACTTAACATGGGTTATATTGATGAATCTTATCAAAAGAGAGCAATAAGAGAAATCAGTGATTTTTTTGTTACATTTAATTCAGCTGTTAATTTTCCTGTGTATTTTTCCATATCATCTACATTTCAACGTTCAGTTTTACGTTTATTTGAACGTAAAGGCAAAAGTGTTTCTACTACAGCATATGATGATGTCCTACTACGACAACAGCAACAACCATTGAATAATATAAGGAATATAGTGTAACGTATATATATATATATATATACATATTTAAGCCACTTGTTTATGTTGTTTTTCTTTTTCTATACATCAATATAAATAGATGATTGAATGTTGTAACTTCTAAAGTTCACTATGTCATCTATGTGTTGTCTATCAAAACAAAATCTTTGCTAGATTATCACTCGAAACATCATATTAGAGCAACAAACACATCGCGTGTCTTTTTTGTGCAAAATCTCACTCATTCTTTCTGATAAAGAAAGTAATATCCGCTCAGGAAGAGATGCTACTTTGCTTTTTACAATAGCAAGAAAATGTTTTAGTTTTTACTTCTCTTTTTATATTAAAGAATATTTTCAAGCACAATGAAAGTTTTTTCAAATCAACTTGTTGCTTTGTTGTTCTTATAAATAAAAGTATTTTTTTATTTCCCAAAGAAATACGGATGTTAAGAAAAATCATCTAAAATATATGGATCAGATTTCTTTTGTTTTACAATCTCTTAAGCATAAGATAGAAATAATGAAAATCGCATAGTTCCTTTCTTTCGTAGTATTAAATTAAATACATTGTAGACAGTTGTATGGTTTCAATAGAATGAAAAGCTACTGCAATCAATCAACTAAGTTCAAGCTACTGTTGTCTATGTTAAGGTGAGTCTGTCACAAAATAATACCCTTGATAAAGATTTACATGAGACTTCTTCATATTTGTAAACCTATTGTTTCCAGATTATTAGTATCAAGCTGAATTAGCATTTTGAAATCTTATTTTTTTAAGATATTCCATCACAAGACTATCATGAAAACTTTACATTGTGACTCCTTAGCAACTTTCATGTCGTTCGAAGTGTAGTTGACGAAGCAAAAACTAATTCTCTAGATAACTGTTTTGTATTTCTCAATATTTTGTAGTTCATTCGATTACCATGCCATTTCTGCTATAGGTCAATGAGACCTTGCTCATAAATTACTCTTTTACTTTCATTTCAAATTTATGTAATAAAATCCATCGAATAAAAGTAATAAGAATAAGAGTAAATTTAGATTAATGCGACTTCATATGTAATATAAAAAGGCGAAATCAAAGACACATAAAATCAAGAAAATAATTATGTAATTCCGTTAGTCTTTCATCAAATCCAACACGTTGATTATGGAACATACAAAAGGAACGCATAAAAAGAATAATCTGTGTACATTAAAAATTTACATGTTTCATTTTGATTCAGAATGCTCATATGTATTTTCTGGAATCCATAATATGTGATGTTATAGAAGTATTATCTCATTTGACTGCTTTTTGTTTGGAAAATTTTCTATAATAAATAGTCGTTCTATTTCCCTATGTATTCATGAATATATTTTTTCTATTTAATATCTTCGTTTCTTTTGATAGTCACTTGAAACTAATGCATTCTCCGATTAAATATTTTTGTATTCATTAAATTTTGCTTAACAATTATTTATCTGTGTTCTATAGAATTGAATAAATTGTCTATAAATACTAATATGCGTGTATAGCTATCACGTAGAAAAAAATTTCTTCAATTGAAGATACGATGTTTTTAGCAAAAACGAAAAACCTTAATCTGAAACCCGAGATTAAATAAAGTTTTGGCTGATAGGTCAAGAATTTGGAAAAAAGAATACTAATAACAACATTGATTAATGTATTCTAATTAATCTATTATGTATCTGTGCTTAATCAAAGGTCTTCTGATAGATATTATGTACATAATATGTTTAAAAAGAGAAAGAAATCATCAAAAATTTGGTCAATTGAATAGACTAATAAAAATCTTCTGACAAATTGTTTCTCAAAGGTTCACTGATAGGAAGAAATTCTATTTCTATTTTAAATAAACATCTCTAATATAAATTAATATTAGCAATATAATTATATGAAAAGATGTTATTAGCGGGAGAACTTTTAGTTCGATTTCTTTTTATTTATTTCAAATCGAACATATATCAGACCACACTTTTACGCTCATTTCACACGCGCGCACATAGACTACTCTAAAGAAAAAGTAATCGATATACATATATATATATATCGAGGGTTTGAGAAAGAAATACAAGTGCAAAATAAAGAATGATCTGAGATAGTTCATATTAAAGAAAAAGAAAAACATAATAAGGGTTAGCCATTAACAGATGTAATTTTATTATTAGAATTTAAGATGACAGGAGATTATTCTATTACACCAGATAAATGAGTTTGATTAATAGAATTACGAATGGCTCGGAAGTAATCCAGATGTAATAACATTGTTCGTAGCATATTTCTATCTCGGTCATTTTTACTTCTCATAGCATGATTTTATTATTCAGGTAACTTATCATGTGACAGATAGTAAAAGATTACTTTCTGTTTGAAAAAATTTCATTCATACAATCCAAAGAATGAAACACTTGTAAAGATTAAAGTTTCGAACAACATTAAAACTTTCTTAATATTTTCAGGAAAAAATCTAGGGCGTAAACGATATTGTTTGATCGTTCATTCGATTCGATAACTGATCTTTTCAAAAAAATGAAAGTTGAACGCCAACTGCAACCGATATATGAATTTCATACTGAGATTCACCTATTACGAATTATACAATGCTTAGTAATATCGGTTCACGCTTTTTTCTAGTTCCGGTTCAATGCATATACCTATACTCTAATTTTTGTAGAAATTATACCTCCCAATGCAGCAGAACAGAAAATACTGTAAATCAAAATCAAAATAGCAGTTCTGTTTGTGGCTTTTCTATGAGTGACTTCTAAATTCTTTTTTGGCCGAATTATCGCTTCAGCACAGTGAAGTATGAAAAATAGTCTTTTTTTTCTTGTCCTTTTTAAAAATAATTTAATTTAGACTCCTCGTATCTATTGTACAACAAAAAATAAATCATTCATTTGTACCATGCCAAAAAATATACACTAGTATCATAATTGATCGAACATTTATATTGGATTGGATTCTTTGGATAGAATAATTTAGATTTCTCTAAAACTTTCGTTTTCATGTACATTCTTATTTAAGTAATTTCAAGCATTGAATTCTAAGTGGTGTCTAGATTTTCTAGACAATTGAGCATGAAATATATTGCGTAAAAACTAAGCTTTTCGTGAAAAAATTGATTATCCATCACCACAGAAATACGAAGATACCAAAAAAAATATCAGATTATGGCTTTCTTATACATTTTTTTCTCATAAAATCTGAGCAATTGATACTACAATCAAGTAACACTATGATGTAAAATATTACGCATTAAATTGAAACAAAACTAAAATTGTGATAACGTCAACGTTTAATTATTTACAATAACAATTTTGCAATATTCTTCCATTGACAAATATCTGAGTTGAGAAATACACCATTCGAAGCTTCCTATCAAAATCAGCAGCGTTCAATTTTATTCAAATGTTTTTGCAGTAATGTAAAACAACATACTATAAAAATTTCATCAATAGTGTTTCATAAATAAGTAAATACCAAATATTTTTTCAATATATATTTGCCTTGGCTTATTGTTAAGATACGAATATAATCGTCCAAGAAATTTCGTAATTATGATTTGAGCTTGGACAAAAACCAATCCTTTTTTATATACGTAATTGTCGAAACCTCTTCTGAATGGTATGCATTTGAAAACAAGCAAAACATCAAAAGAAGATATAACATATTATCCAATCTCGAAAAATTATATTCAAAGTAATTCATGAATATTAACAATTGAGAAGAGTTTTTAAAATTTTGTTGAACAAGCGTTTATTTGTTTGTCAAAAACTAACTATTTGTTTCCATTTATACAAGATCAGATTTTTGGCATATTTGCTACATAACAAAACTTTCTACAAAAAAATATAATTCTCAAATTCTGCTAATAGTCAAACAAACACAATTTATCTCGTTCAAACTAATGTATTGAAATTTTCTTTTCATTGTTTCAGTAGAAATAATTTCTTATTCTATATTTCGAAAATGAAGAGTCTTTAGAATATTAAATCTTCCGAATAGTATTATAAATAGAGCAGAAGAAAACAACATATAACCTATCGTCAATTGTATTCGTCTTTAATGGATTCTGAAAGGACAATGAATACAATTATCAAAAGTTTACTTTACAATTCATAGCTATCGACTGTCACATCATCTCAATGTTTACTTCTTACATTACTTCCAATATTTTGCTGGCTTGATTTTCTTCAAAGTTCTAGGGTATCATGTGTACAAAAAATCAATTCAAATATATAGACGAATGAAAAAAAAGTAAAATTTTATTTTATATTCCGTTGGTAGGATTTCTTTCGATGTAATCATAATATTGGTCTATTCTTTCTTCTAGTTTTCAAAGAAAACTTCATTAATTCATAGTAAGTCATTTCTTCTATTTGAATCATATTTTTCTAAAATTCTATTTAATCAACTTCACTTGTATATTATTGTAATTTAGCACCAATCATCATTTTCAACTTCAGGTAATCACCAGAAAATTGCTCACAAGTTTCTTTTTTTATATAACTATCAAATATATGATATGAATGTTTGTTTGTTTTTTGTATATTGAAATTGTACAGAAGCACAAATATATATATATTAACTAAAGATAACCACAAATATTCTCTCGAGGTCTTTTTCTGTTAAAATTAAAATTGTGTCACGAAAAAAAAAGAAGCATATTGAGCATATAAAGACGAGGACAAAAGCGAAGCAAAACCAGAAAATAGACAAAACACAAAAGAAAAAAGAAATGAAAACAAACGTTGAAGAAAAACATTAACACGCTGAACAGTAATAAGCATTTTGTGCCATTGAATATAATTTGTCAATTGGATTTTGACTACGATTTAGTGGATCTTCGTTAATATCACCATCACTATTTTCATGTGAAGGATAACAATTTTCATTGATTAAATGATGATGTCGACCATCAGCTATAATAATCAACAATAAACAAATATGTAGAATAAATAATATCGAAAAAAAAATTTATCAACATACTTGATTCTTGTTTATTATTTTCATCATTTGACGATCCAAAACCATTTGACATACTGTGTGGGATTGATTCTTCTGATGAGCATTGACTATTTTCTGTGAGAAGAAACAAAGACATAATATTTGTTAGAAGTTTCAAATAGAAATTTCGGATTTCAAGAAAAAAAAATTTATTTATTGAAATTGCTTACCTATATTTTCTCCTTCTTCATCAAACATATAATGATTTAATAGGCCATCATTCGTCATTTTTTTCTTTGGTTTTTTTTCATTTATTTCATTGGCACTATTTTGCTGCTGACGACGTTGCAACTTTTTCATCTGATATAATTAGAATTTATTTATAATTTTATTGTATTGCTTTCTTGTCAACTTTTTCAAACTTACTTTAGCTCGTTCATTCTGAAACCACACTTGAACGACACGCACTGATAGGCCAGTTTCACTTGCAAGACCTTCTCGGACCTGTTAAATATTAAATTAAATTAAATATAAACATTAATTGATTAATATGTCCGATTTCTTTTACTTTTCGACATGGTTTTGAACTGACATCAAATGCTTGTTTAAATTTACGCCGTTGTACTGATGTTAAAATGGTTCGTGGTCGTTTAGGCCCACGACCATTTCGCATATGATTATGTCCCGATTGATGTACACCAGTGCCCATCGTAGCAGCGTCAGAAGAACAACAATCATCTTCATAACTATCTTCTTCATCACCTAATCAATATAAATTTCAAATGTTTACTTTCTTTTTCTTAATTTAATAAAATTCAACTCACTTCTATTACATCGAATTGTAGGTTGTTGATGATGTGATCCAATCATTTGTTGTTGTGATTGTTGATGATGTTGAAAGTCGGCATGACAAAGAAGTAAACCATCACGAAACATATACGGATCACCTTTATGCAAATGATCATCACATAGAGAACATCTAAAGCATTGTAAATGAAACACTTGACCCGATGTTTTCATAATTATTTCATCCGGTTGAAGAATTGCTTTACATCTTGAACATCGCATACCGAAATTTCTAATAGGCAAAAAATAAATTATCCAAATATAGTTAATTTTTTGTCGAAATATATAAAAATAAAAATCAATCAACACTTGACTCGTACAATAGGGTTACCTTATAAGAGATAAACACCTGTGCTCTACACTCTTAACTGTCAATCTTTCTCTTTTGTGAAACTAGAAGTTTTTTTCCTACCTATTGTATCCAACTAATCACAATGGAAACTGATCATAATCAATGTCTGCTTTTTTTCATTCTTACTGTCGCATTGCCTGCCATATGAACACTTGAAAAAGCGAGCAGGAGCATGAACGATCGATTGTCGCACACATAAGTATCTCACTCAGTTTCTCCGTCATCAATTGAACTGGAAAAAGAAGGAATAAAGAGAGGTAAAGGGAATATGTAGTAAAGGTCTGTCTGCGCATGTAAATAAGCAACATACAGCAATTGACGATGACGAGCACTTGAGTAACCAAAGAGAGCAAGAAGCACGGGAGAGCGAGAGAGAAAGAGATCGAGAGTCAAAAGGTGTACACGCACGTGCCCTGTCAATTCTCATAAACAGTAAAATAGAAGTACTCTTACGCTCGATGTATCTTCATCGATGCCCTGAAAACAAGTATCGCAGGATGCGCGTCAACTTCCGCTCACAATGACTTCCGTTTCTATATCGGACACATATATCGCTTTTTTTTTAATATTCATTCCTCGTCCCATTTTTTAATGCTTCGTGTCTCTTTCATTGCCTCAAAGAGATACATCTGTATCCGTTTGAAAAAACAAAAATTGAGCAAAGCGAAAAAAATTCTAATTAAAAAATTATACCACTGATGTTTAAAATGTTTTCATTGCGCAGTCAATGACGAGGAAAAAAGCAAAGAACAAAAAGCGCACATCCCTGAAGCGATTGATATACGAATAGATCTGAATATTATATTTTTATATTTTACTTACTGAAAATAATCTCTTTTACAATAGATTTTTCCTTTTTTCTGATAGCATGTAGATATCAATGGTTCTTGACATTCCGCACAGACAAGACAACGTTCATGCCAACATGTTCCCATTACACATAATAGAAATTGTTCATCGATCGGCAGAGAACAACCTGCGCAAATAGTAGATCTCACTGAATTTGATGGTGTTGATGGTGATTCATGCATTCTATAATAAAAGAATAAGAAAATTACTATCATATCAAGTAATAAATCTATTTATACCTATCATATGGACAAGGAGTAACTGCTTGATCAAGAAAATTAATCAGATGATGATGATGATTACCATCATATGACTCCATTTTCTCTATTTCTCCGTAGCTTTTTTATTCTATCACTCAAACTGGTCTCTCTTTTCCAACAAGGATAAGTGATGATAAGGATGCTCATATACTCAGCATGGCTACAGATGGTATCGTCCTCTTTCGTTATTTTAAAATTTCAGCTGCTGCCACTTTTCAAATAGAGACAAAATATACCGGAAAAAAAAGAATTCTCACCTTTTCAATCGATTGATGTACTACTATTGATTGGTGGTACGTTAAGGTAGTTACGTCAACAACTTCTCTGATGAGAATATGTATGTCTGTGTTTCTTGAGAGAGAAATGTGAGAGAGAGAGAGAGAAAAGATGGCAAATATTTGCTCAATTCGGTAGCAGTGTTCGTCGCCGATTGGTTGTATGCTGTAGAAAAAAGAATCAGAACGGAGCATTCATTGTACTATCGTTATTCATTGGTTGTTTGCGAAAGGAAGAAGAAGTGGCATTAAATATATACTGCCATTCTGACGTCATGTTCTTTTATATTCGCTTGTCGCTTTCTTTTCTTTTTTTTTATTCCTACGTCACATCAAAAATATTTTATCAACAAAAAATTGTTAGTCTTTATCAAACTTCTGAAGATATCGTAGGAACTGCATTATCCGGTTTTATTCTTCTTCATAACATATTTTAAATGAGAATTCAGAACTATACATAAAATGTCACTAAGATTTTTCTAATATATAAATATATATTTATATATTTATTTTTATCAGGAACAACAAGGTTAACTTGAACATTTGGTAAATGTTTCAAAATTTTTGGTGTATTAAATTAAGAACTTGTGTGTCAAAGAGTATTCTTACAATTAAATTTGATTCCATCCTATCTATCTTCAACTTTAAAAATTGCCGACTATTACATAAATCTTTTGAATAAAAAGTATTAATATTTAGCAAACTAAAGAAGCATAGCATGAAAATTTAAAAAACAATTTCTTTAAAATTATTCATCAAGTAGAAATTCATCTAAAAATAAATGAAACTTTTTCAATCGAATAGCTGACCATAGTAAAGAATATATTATTTGTTAAAGTTTAATTATCTTATCTTTCATAGTCATATTATATTTAGTGAAATAATTTTTTTTCAAGATAATGTTATAACAATATTTTCACAATCTTTGCATTTCAAGCATATATTAAAATAAAGCTTTATAAAACTTGTATGCTATGCAGTAACACAAATAACTGGCTCATGAAACAGTTTATTTTAACTTTTTTTTTCTTCAAAATTTTATCATGGAGAAAACTGAACTTAAACTCTGTCATAATGAATGAATAGTCAGATAAACGTTGCATAGAAAACAATTCTCATCCGATAGAGATCAAAAAAAAATAGAATACAAAAGTTAACCGAAGAATGTGAATCGTCACACACCGATAGAGAGAGGGAGAGATGATCCTCGATAAGAACGAATCGAAGCAAACAAATATATCTCTCGTTCAATTGTTTTTCCTTGTTTCTCAGTCTATCAATCGTTTAATCTGGTTTGATAAACATACGCTAACATGAGTACACAGACATAGTCAGAACACACACAGAGGTGAGAAGCTCAAATATACACACATATTGCTGGCAGCAGTTATATCTTTATTTACCAATTAATCTATGTGAAAAAATGATGAAGTTCTTCAACTAACGGGAAATATACACTTGATTGATTGACCGATTGACTGTCTTATTTTTGTTTTGTCGTCGATGTCACACATTTATGGTACTATTGTCGGTGTTAATCAATCGATCATTATCGTCGATTCAATATTTATATATGCTAACAAATACAGGTGAAAGTAAACTAGAACTTCTAAAAGAATGAGAATCAGTGCCAACAACAGAACATAAGATCAAACACATCACTGCGACATCCGCCGAACGTGATCATCCATGCTGTTGACGAATAATGAATGGCATTGTATGGTATTACATGGTATAGGTAAAGAAAGAAAGAAAGGGCGACAATGAACAATCTTGTGCAAGACACGCACACTTCCTGACTCCACCTCTTCAATTCTTACCGACCGGAGGTGGGTATACTTCAAAGACTGTTTTATTTTTCAATGAATGACATCTGCTCTTGTCTGTATTTTGTTTGTTTATTTTGTTTGATAAAGAAATACTATGATACCATTTATCATTGGCGCACTTGATATTTTTTAAATTCAAAATCGTGATTTCGAATCTCATTTTTCTCGTATTCATTTCTAATTCCATAAATTATCTAATTTCATATTTATATATATTATATAATGATTTTTGCTTAATCAATATCAAGATATTTCACTGAAGAGAACATATTTTTAAATTTAATCATACAATTATCAATATGAATATCTAAGTAAACAATATAAATTAATCAATGCCTCGCCATGCATTTCTTCAATCGAAAACAACTTTAACAACATGTAAAAAAAATTCAAATCAATCTGAGAGGTTCGTTTAATTTTTATTTAAATCGTTCTTAGATTTATTCATTATTCCCGATCATAAAAAGATAATCAGTAATTCTACTTATAGGAAAATTAACTTATGATTAGGAAGACTTTTCTATATTTTTTGTTTTTTGTGTTATATAGGATTCATGATAAGGAAAATGAAAAAAATGACAATGATCAAATGAGAAAATATTTAACAAATAAAAGAGACAATGTAGTCATATTTCAACAGCATGGACAAAGATGGTCTAAGGTACATCAAATATACGTCAATTCTAAAAGATTATTGATCTAATGAAGATACTAAAGCTACTGACTATGATTTCATGATGCTTAAAATTAAATTGTCTTTCGAGTTAGGTTTAGTGATCGAAGAAGTTTATTGACAACAGATAATTCAGTTAAATTTTCCGCCATTGTTATTGATGTTTTCTTTAGTAGAATTTTATATAATTTTCTGTTTTTTTAATGCTCGAAATGAATGTTTAATTAACAAGTACGAAGAAATAATTCCACAGTTTCTGAAATATTTGTGAATATTCTATAATTAATATCTAAAATTTATTTTTAGAATCAATCAACATCTGATAAACGTTCACAACGTCGGCTATCATCTAAAATGGGTACTACATTTGCAGGTTCAAGATCAGCAGTATCAGAGTCACCATCAACAGTACCAAATGGTACACGATCGAGTCTACTGAATAGTCTTAGTCCTCCTTCACGAGATAAAACTGCAGGACACGTTCCATTGTCGACAACAATTCTATTAAATGATTCACGTTCACCACCACGTATTAAAATCCTTGAACTACGTGCTGAAATCGAAAGTAAACCAACATTAATCGATGAAACATCATCATCCGTTTTAAAATATAAAACACCACAGTTTAAATCACATGTTACTTTTCAAATGCCACCAATCGATGAAAATCAAAATTGGAAAGTCGGATGGATACAAGCTTGTACACATATGGAATTTTTTAGTAAATTTAGAAAGAAACAGAAATAACATGACTGACTTCCTTCTTACATTCATAGATACATATGGAGATCATGGTTACACATCATGGGAATTTCCTGAAATGGTAACACGTGAAAAGCCATTAATAAATGATAGTGATGGACGAAATTATCCGTGGTATGGTAGTTCACATCAAGTTGTAACTATCAACGGACCTATTCTATCTACATCAAAATATACAGTTACAATGAGAGATTTTTTTCATCCTTGGTATGTTTCAATTATGAGAAGATTTAAAAATAAAAATAAAAATCATACAATCTAATAATTTATTTATCTATATTTGTTTTTTATTGCTATTTTTATGATTCCTTGGGATATTCCAACAAGTGATGAAGAACTACCACGTTTAACACATATCTATAGAAATCAGCATTTTCTTGTTTGGCTTGCAGCAATGGATCTTGAATCGAAAGTAGTATTTAATTATAATGATGATAATGATGCTGATTTTTTCTTTGATTGAAAAAATAACTACACAGGATATCTATATTCTTCGTACTGTTGAATGGAAGAAACTAATCGAAATTTCAGTTGATCCAAAACGACAACGTGGTCGTCGATCAAAACTTATTTCAGATCCATCACCTGAACAGCCTATGATCTGTGATGAAAATTTGCCTATTCCAACTTGTGCTTTGTATCCACCGACTGGTAAAGTCATGAATTTGACTACTTGTTTGTTAGATACGAACACTTTTTCTTATAAAAAAAACAGCTAATTCGGCTCAAGTATTGGTTTGGCGACCGACTTCAGGTCAACCGACACTTGTTGTACCACCAAAATCTATTGAAATCAATACGACGAATTGTAAGTAATATGCCTGATAGAACATATTTGCAAGTTTGTTGGTTTTAGACGCTCATCTACCATTGGCTCGCTATTAAAATGATGTTTTAATTTAGTTTATCTTTATCGACTGAATTAGAACTATTTATATTTATTTTTTTTCAAATATTTTATACGGTTTAATAATATTATTGTATTTTATTCAAAGTAAACTTTGAATACCTATATGAAATGAATCTATTCATTCAAACAGATTTCAAATATCATTTTCTGGTTCTATGAATAAAGTCGAGGGTCTAAAACATCAAATAGAGAACATAAATAATATATAATCTATCGTATTACTGTAAACATCAGGTAATAATAATGACAAACAAATATCGATTAATTTGATATTTGCTTAGAAAGTTAATGATTTTCAGATTTGTTTCAATTATTAAAACTATCACAAGAACTTAATAAATAGAGACAAGTAGAAAAATGCGTTGTTAATTTGGATTTTGATAGTTTTTTTTTGTAATATTTTAGGGATTTGGTTAGAAAGATAAGTTTTTAAAAGTAAACTTGCTTATGTGCAATCTATCGTTTAATTAGTATTATTTCTATGAATATGAATAAAAATAATTTTTGTCCAGTTCATTATTACATCTAGTTTCATAAAACAGTTTTAGTAAATTAGGTCAGAAAAAAAAAAACTTTTCTATTGCGTACATGGATTTAGATTAGTGTGTCATGAGTACGTTGCGTCAGAAATACATTTTTATTATTAATATAGAAATAGAGATAGTTAGCATATGTTTGGACTTGTATAGCGGTTTGTGTATTGATAGATTATGATGGAGGTTCAATTGTAACTGTCAGAATGGCTCTTCTCGATAAATACTCGGTTTCATAATATGTAAAGAAAAAAGAAAATACAATATTAAATGATCTTATAGCAGTCAGTGAATAGAAATCTAACATAAATCTATATTCTAAACTGTTGTTCGTATAAATGGTATGACCGAGTTTATGACATACAAAATAAGAAATAGAAGTAAGTCAATCAGATGATCATCAAATTTTAAAAGAAATATTTCAGTTAATCAACCTTCACTACAATTACTGCCAGAAAATAGTAGTATTATTGATATTCGTCTCTGTTCTTGTGGAATAGTGAAAATATTTTATCGTCTGAAAAGAATCGCAAGTAGCATGATTAAAATATAATAACAACTAATTATTTAACAATATGTGTAAGTAATTATTATTGTACATCAATATTACTAATATCTCATCGATCTTACGTCAGAATGATTGATAATCGAAACTTTTGCCATGGAAAATATGCGAAGGAGAGCTTTAAATGAAATAGACAATTTTGATGTTTATATGTTTTAATGTAGATAGTCGAGCTGATTTTATACTCAAGCAATAATAATTGAATGGTGCTTAATTAACTATTAATTTAGCTTTTAATGCAAGATTAAATAAAAATTAATTTTGAGTTTTATAACCGATCCAGGCCGTATATTACGACGACTATATACGGCCATTTACGAAGGCGCACACGACCGTATATGCGCTGTATTACGGTCGTATACCGCAGTGTCGTATACGATACAACACAACGACCGTTTCCAAGACATGGCCCGTTGTATACGGCCGTACTATAAACTGAACACAACCAAACACTGCACCGTGTACGATCGTAACGACATCTTAACCGGCTGTTTACGGTCATACTTCTGAAATCAAGAAATACAGATCCTGATAATGATAACACTCCACTCAATGACCATCACACTACAGATCCCAATTATATTTCGCTTCAATATCAACCACGCTAAAAAATGTCAGTACTCTGAAAGAAAAAAAGGAGTTTTACAGAACCCTTTTAGGGGTTCTGGTATCGGGTAAAACGCAGAACCCTCGAAAAAGGTTCTGACTGAAAAAAGGTTCAGTAAAGAAATAATGAAACCATATATGATTTTTCTTCAAAAATGGTTCTGTCCTACGTATATGGTGTTCCATGATTTAAATGGTTTACCCTTGGGATTTCCCTTATCTCTATATCCATATTTCGATATTCTTATATCTATACCATATATCTATACCCTTACAACTATACCCTTATTTGTATATTTCCTAAAAAAGTGTGGTTCCGGGAAAAGTTTAGAGCCTTTCCGATTTTGTCACTGTCTGAAAACCTTTCAGAGTTTCCGAATATTGATGTTCAAAGTCTTCTGAACCGAAACAAATAGTTACAGTACTTTCTCACAAAGCAATATCAGAAACTGCACAAACGTTTCAAAGCTCACCAACCTTGGAATGCAATGAAGAATCTGAAAAATATCGGCAGTCACACAGATGTCGAACCCATGTCGTCTATCATAAAAACGTCAAAATGACACATCGTTATTTCTCGAATACTGATATGTAACTTAGCCATTCGTTGAGATCCATTTGAGGAATCTAAAAGAAAGGAAAAATTAATATTAGGTTTTTAATTCTTTAATGTAG